TCCTTCGCTCTAGAAACTACGCGCGCGGGGATAGCCAAATGCTAGAAGTGTCATATCGTTATTGTAGTCTAGATCTACTAGCTGGCATCTCCATGTAGGTTCGACACTACCTTCCAGAGATTTTCGGGAACCAGCTAGTCTTCATCCTTCTTTGACGTGTTTATTATACCGTTCGAACTGCTAGTCATCTTCGAATTTCGTTTTTTTCACCGTTTTGCTTCCGCAAGTCAGAAAGTCCGTTTGGAGTCCTATATGTGGTAATTATTGTTTCACTTTTCATAGCGGCGACCGCGCTACAGTCTCCATGCGCCCAGCAATTCCGCTTTTGATGAGACTGGTCTCCGCGAGGAACTTCTGGTGGACAGTGACATGCGAGCTGGCTTATTGACCAACACGCAGCGTGTTGAACGAACAGGTCGGCGTCTTCAGGAGGGCCTTCGCACTGCCTACGAAACTGAGGAGATCGGTGGGCAGATCCTGAGTGATCTGGATCATCAGAGGGACACCTTACAACGAAGTCGTGATCGGGTATGTGGTGCGCAATGCACCTCGTGTTGTTCTTCATTACCGCCATACATTGACAAAATCCTCATTTGGAAAAAATGATTCGAACTTTATTGGATGACGCACACGCTTACGAACTTTATTCGGTAAATCAAAAGCAAACTAGACTTGGGGCACATGTTAAGGTGTATCATAGATAACCATTTAGAAATCGCGGGATTGTTCGTACTTGTACCTGCAGCGATATCCATCACAAATGGTTTAGCCGGCTTCATATTGTTAGTTTATCATTGTACAATCGGTCGCTCTCCACCGACATCGGTTGGCTGCAGGCCTCCGTTCCAGCAACACACTGAACAGCGTTTTGCTAGGGACTGTTCTCTGAAGTCATTGAACTGGAAAGTATACATCTCCAGTTGCAGGACGATTCGGGACAGCAACAAAGGCGGTAATGGCTGAATTGCGTGAATTCTTATTCCGTAGACTGAAGGGTACTTATTTCGCAGCTTACACTATCCGAAGGCTGTCCTTCTATCGGGCATCTGTGATTGCGCTAGTTGTATTGTTGCCTCGCTGACGGACAAACCCCGTTCTCCTGGTGGTGTCAGTCGTCCGCATCATGCTTGCATCGTACTGGTGTCGTCTGAGGTCAAAAGCACATAAATATCAGTTCGGTATCTTAGAGCACAAGGCGTACGTCCAATCAGGATGAAAATTAAAGCTAGATTTTCTGTATGTTACTACTCACAAATAATC